TAAGTTTTATTGGTTTTGTTTCTCTAGAGAACACAGTCTAACACACTATGCAAATCACTTTGTGGGACATTACTATAAGCATAAACTCTAACTTAATCTAAACTTAATTTTATTTAATTGAAAATAAATAGTTTGCAAACTCTAATCATTGATCACTAGTTATAAAATATTTTTTACCTACCTCATGACCATCATAACATGTGACAGTTGTCTCTACCATGCATGAAGAGGCTAACTGATTTACAAAGTAATGCTGCAGTAAAGAAGAAAATGTTTATTTCATTCTTGAGCAAACTTACCTCTTTGTTTTGGAAAAATGTAGTCAGGATGCTGTAAAATAAATTAAAAGTACATTAGATAATTACTGTAACATATAAAACTAAGTAAAAATTTAAAAAATATTAAATAACATAACTACCTTCATTATTGGCCGGGCTCGCTTCTCAAACAAACCACTTGGAAACAGGTAAACAATAGCTCTCTGGAAACATACGTAAAAGTTAATTAATAATTCATAAAAACAAGATAACATTTTAACTAACAGTTATCGTGAGCTACTATATGCCACATACTGAACTAAGATTTTCACATGCACTATCTCATTTCATAATTTTTAAAATGAGATAGTAAAATTACTACTCCATATAGTGCCTAGGAGCTCTGGTAGTGTAGTGCCTAAGGCACCTGACTGCTAACCAGAAGGCTAGCGATTCAAACCCACCAGCCACTCCTCGGAAGAAAGGTTGGGCAATCTACTTCTGTAGTGATAGCGCCTCGGAAACCCAAGGAAGCGTTGCTATGAGCTGGGTCTGACTCGACGGCACATAACAGCAACAACAACAGAAGCTGGCAGTTCAAACTCACCAACCACGCCTCAGAAGGAAGATTGGGCAATCTACTTCTATAGTGATACTGTGTCATAGTTCTGTGTCACTATGAGTCAGAAATGACTTGAAGGCAGTGAGTTTTTATTATTATTATTATTATTATTATTATGGATTGAGGAGCCCTGGTAGAGCAGTGATTAAGTGCTTGGCTGCTAACCAAACCCACCAGCGGCTCTGTTAGAGAGATTTGGCGGTCTGCTTCCATAAAGATTAGAGCCTTAGAAACCCCATAGGGCAGTTCTACTCTGTTCCACAGGGTTGCTATGAGTCAGAATTGACTCAGTGGCAGTGGTTTTGATTTTGGTTTTTTCTTTGTATTAGGGATTGAACTGTATCGCCACCCTCCCAAAAGGTATTTTGAAACCCTAACTCCCTAACTTTCATACAAAGTGAATATGGCCTTGTTTGGAACTAGGGTCTTTAAAGATGGTATCCATTAACATGAAGTTACACTAGAGTATAAAGCTGGGCCTTAGTCCAATATGAATAGTGTCACTATAAAAGGGAGGAAACACGGAGAGAAACAGCAAACAGCAAAGACATCCATGATAAGATGGAGGCAGAGATTTCAAGTGATCTATCTATATAAACCAGAGAATGGCAAGGATCACAAGCTATCACCAGACACTAGGAGAGCAGCGTGGAACATATTCTCCCCTTGGAGTCCTCAGAAGGACACACCCAGATTTCCAAATTCTCAGCCTCTAGATCTGTGGGGCAATAAACATCTGTTCTTACAAACCACACAGTTTGTGGTACTTTGTTATGGCAGACCTAGGAAATGGATACATATCCCAATGAAGAAAGAAAGAAATTTTAGCTATTAAACTGGTTATTGATCATTTTCAAGTGTCAGTTTAAAATATGCCATTCTCTGAATGTGATACTACAAGTGTTATCTCTGTTCTCATTTTTGTTAAGGAAAACTACAGGTGTTTCTACACAACTTCTGTAGTTATGTGTTCAAAAGCAATCATTTAACTCAAAAGACAGGATACTGTAAGAATAGGCTCTAGGTCTCATGCACAATGTCACTCCTGATGTTTTCAGATGCTCTGGACTTCTCCCAGAAGTAGTGAGAGAGTTTCAAACTACACCCTTTTCAAACAACTTATTGCGTCTGTGTCTCATTGGGGATGCTATTGGTATTTTCAGTGAGAAAACTCTGTTGTAGATAATCTTTCCCCATGTTGCAGGTCATTTAACATGGATGGCCCTTTTCTAAAACATGCTAGTAATATCCCTAAATCCTTGTTCCCTGTGATAAACCCCACCCCACACATTTCCAAATGCTCCTTACTTCCTAGAGAGTAAAACTGCTCCCCCACACCCTTGAGAATAATTGCTTAAGACATTACAATGTCTTCTCAAATGCCCCTCCTTATCTTTGTTACTTCAAACAAACCTGGTTGTGCCATCTGCCTATCACAGGTTGTTAATGAGTCTTCCTCCAATCCTGAGGCCATGTTCTTCTTCATATAATCCAGCTTCTCTTTTCATTTGCTCAGCAAACAGAATGAATAAGCATGGTGAAAGGATACAACACTCACACATACCTTTCTTGATTTTAAACCATGCAGTATCTCCTTGTTCTGTCCCTACGACTGCCTCTTGGTATATGTACAGGTTCCTCACGAGCACAATTAGATGTTTTCAAATTTCCATTCTTTGCCATGTTATCTATAATTCGTTATGATCCACACAGTCGAATGCCTTTGCATAGTCAATAAAACACAGGTAAACACCCTTCTGGTATTCTTTGCTTTCAACCAAGATCCATCTGACATCAGCAATAATATCCCTCGTTCTGTGTCTTCTTCTGAAGCTAGCTTGAATTTCTGGCAGTTTCTTGCCAATGTACCACTGCAACCACTTTCTAATTACCTTCTGCAAAAGTTTGCTTCTGTGTAATACTGTTTGATAATTTCTGCCCTCTGTTGGACCACCTTTCTTTGGAACGAGCACAAATATGGATCACTTCCAGCTGGTTGGCCGGGTCTTTTGAATTTCTTGGTATAAACAAGAGAGAGCCTTTAGTGCTGTATCTGTTAAAACATCTCAATGGGTATTCCGTCAATTCCTCGAGCCTTGCTTTTTGCCCATTCTTTCAGCGCAGATTGGACTTCTTCCTTTAATACCATTGGTTCTTGTTCATATGTTCCCTCCTGAAATGGCTAAATGTCAACCAATTCTTTTGGGTACAGTGACTCTGTGTATTCCTTCCATCTTCTTTTGATGCTTCCTGCATCATTTAATATTTTACCATTAGAATCCTTCAATAATGCAACTCAAAGCTTGAATTTTTTCTTCAGTTCTTTTAGCTTGAAGAAATGCAGACTTAAGCAATATTATGATAATTGGAGAAAAGATTGAAGTTGTCAAAGATTTAATTTTATTTAGGTCCACAATCAACACCTATGGAAGCAGCAGTCAAGACATTAAACGACATATTGCATTGGGCAAATCTGCTGCAAAAAACTTCTTTAAATTGTTAGAGAGCAAAGATATCACTTTGAAGACTAAGGTACACCTGACCCAAGTCACGGTGCTTTCAATCAACTCACATGCACATGAATGCTAGACAATGAATAAGGAAGACTGCAGAAGAAGTGATACATTTGAATTGTGGTACTGGCAAAGAATATTGAAATTCCATGGACTTGTAAGAGAATGAACAAATCTGTCTTGGAGGAAGTATAGCCAGAATGTTCTTTAGCATCAAGAATGGCCAGACTTTGTCTCTTATACTATGATCATGTTGTCAGAAGGGATCAGTTGCTGGAGAAAGATATCACGCTAGGTAAAGTAGAGGGTCAAGGAAAAAGGGGAAGATTCTCAACAAGATGGAGTGACATAGTGGCTACGATGATGGGCTCTAGCATGGCAACGATAATGAGAATTGTGTAGGAATGGGCAGTGTTTCATTCTGTTGTACACAGGATCACCATGATTCAGAACTGACTCAACAGCACTTAACAAGACATCATTTAAAAAGTGTATTTTCATCCCTCTTAAGCAATGTCAGATAAGTCGTCTGTGGCCTTGGAGACTGGCACTATAGGTGAAATCTAAATAAACTAGTAGCTCATTAGAACAGTGTTGCTATTTTAGCATTTCCAGACACAGCCTTCTCTATTCACTCACATGGTAAATGTTCTATACCAGATTCTGCCCCTGAAAGGAGGGGCCTAGAACTTTGGGAGTAAATTCAATTATGTTAGGGAGCCCAGTTGTGGCTTTGGGTGAAGCTGCTCTGTCTCATTCTCTCATTCAGCCTTTTGATAATCAAATTGAAACTAAAGAAAATAAATAAAAATAGATCATATATTAGAGTGCTAAGTTAAATAAACATTTTTTAAAATTAAGAACTCTTCTCTGCCTTCTCTCTAATAAATAGGCTTTAATACGTGATGCTGAAATAACTGGATTGCCATTTGAAAAAAGATAAAACTGGTTCCAAATACTAGAATAAATGCCAAATGAATCAGAAATCTAAACATAGAAAATGAAACCAAACAAGTACTAGAAAACAATATGGGTGAATGACTTTATAACCTAAGTATAGGAAAGTCTTTCTTAACTATGACTCAAAATTCAGAAACTATAAAAGATTGACCAATTAAACCACATAAAAACACAAAAATAAAAACTTCAGAATGTCAAAAAAAGAAAAAGTCAGAAAATAAATGACCAACTGGGAGAAAATACTGACATTTTTATATGATAGACAAAGGGCTAATCTTCATAACAAACAGGAAAGGTCTTAAAATAGAAGGAGAGAAAAAGAGATCAAAAGCCCAATAGACAAAATGGGCAAGACATGAACAGACAGTTCACAGAACATGATTTACAGATGATTCTTAAACATTTGAAAATGACTCAAATGTACTAATTAATAATAATAATAATAGTGCAATTAAAACAATAACACTTTTCATCTAACACAAATAACGATTTTTGTAAGTTTGACAGTATACTACTGGTGAGGCTATACAGGGATACTGTGACACACTGCTGGCCACAGTGCAAAATGGTACTATCTTTAGGTTGAAATTTGGCACTATCTAACAGAACTACCAGGAACTGACAGAATGTGTACTGACACATTTCAACAAACAGGTGCAGTGCTGGAGATGCTCACATGTTTATACCAAGAAATTTGGAAGACAGCGTCCTGGCCAACCAATGGGAAGAGATCCGTATTTGTGCCTATTCCAAAGAAGGGTAATCCAACAGAATGTGGAAATTATTGAACCATATCATTAATATCACATGTAAGTAATATTTTGCTAAATAATTAAAAAATGGTTCAGCAGTACATTGACAGGAAACTGCAAGAAATTCAAACCATATGCAGAATAGGATGTGAAATGAGGGATATTACTACTGATGTCTGATGCATCTTGGCTGAAAGCAAAGAATACCAGAAAGATATTTACCTGTGTTTTACTGATGATGCAAAGGCATTCTCAATGGTGTGGATCATAACAAATTATGGATAACACTGTGAAGAATGGGAATTTGTGAACACTTAACTGTGCTCATGAGGAACCTGTATGTAGACCAGGAGGCAGTCACTGAAACAGCAAGGGGA